CTTCCCTCCCTCCCTCCCTCCCTCACTGGTTGGTTGGTTGGTTTGGGTTTGGTTTTTTGAGACAGGATTTCCCTGTGTAACCTTGGCTGTCCTGGAACTCACTCTAGACAAGGCTGGCCTCGAACTCTCAGCTATCCAAATGCTGAGATTAAAGGTGTGTGCCACCATAGCCCAGCTGCTCCAACCCTACCCTACCCTACCCTAGTGATGTTTACTGAGGTATACTTTACAAACACATTAACCCTTTTTAAAGATACAGGGGTTTTACATTTTGTGGAATGCACAGTTATTTAACCAACACAACTGGGAATTGGAACAGTGCCATCTCCTGCAGAACACAGCTTCATGCCCCTTTGTCATCCCCTCCTGCTTGCCCTGAGTTTCACCCCTCTGCTCTGCAACCCTTTCAGAATAGTAGGTGATTGGAGTCACAGTAGGTGCCTCCCCAGCCTGCTTCTGTGCCTCCAAGTGCATTTTAGAGCTGGAGAACAGAGCTTAGCTACTGAGCATTTGGGAAGCCCTAGGTTCCATCCCCAGCACCACAAAGGCTGCTGTGGTATTTACAACCTGCATCCCAGCAGGTGGACTACAGAGGCAGGAAGATAGGGGTTCGAGGTCATCTCAAGTACACTGAGTTCGAAGCCTGGGATTCATGAGATAGGATTTCTAAAAAGCATTAAAAGATTGAGTACGTTTGAGAGTCACATGTGCCTCTGGGTGCTAATGGTATCCACTGTGCAGACCTTAGTGCGGTCATCTACTAAAGGTCTGGGTGATAGTTGGTGACCGGCTTGTGATTATAAACATCCCTGTGTAGGGTTTCGTATGGACTTAGGTTTTTATTTCCTCCAGTGAATGGCTGTTAGTTTCCTTCTATCACACTGCCCACTGCCACCAGTCCCACGTCCACAACAAACCGGGAATGCATCCGGCCCACTGTGCATAGACTTCATACCTTCCACGGGTACAACTCTGCCCCGACAGACAGCCACCAAGAACTCCACTAGTGGCTGAGAAGCCCAGATTGTTCTAGCTAAGCTGCAAACCTGCTGGGCTAGCATGACAGGTGCCCAGGTGAGGAGGGACTGGGGGTTTGCCAAGCAGAGCAATAGCTAATCTCATTAGCCCATATCAAGGTTACTTGCGGTTTACTTGCTGACTTAGTTTTGAGCTGGAAGCATGTCAAAAGAAGTTGTAGGTTCTTACTTAAGCTGAGACTACAAACTCACAGGATTCCTGCCTTTCTGAGTGTTGAGCATAAGAAAGCCACCAACTGTTATTTTACTAGAGACTGCTTTGAAAATAGAAAACTAGGCCATAGAAAATAGAAAACAGGCCTTCAATCTCAACAGTCAGGAGGCAGATGCCTGCAGATCTCCATAAATTCAAGACCACTCCAGTCTACATAGCAAATGCCAGCCCAATCAGGTTTGCACAGTGAGGCTGTATTTCAAACACTAACAAAAATAAGAGGCTGGGTTTGAGGCGAGCCTAGTCTACGCAACAAGTTCCAGACCAACTTGGGCTTCAATAGACACAGTCTCAGAAAGAAGTCTGGATTGGGGATGTAACTCAGTGGTAACAAGAAGCCTGTGCTAGTGTGTGGCAAATCCCCAGCACAACGTTTAAAAAGGAAAGTCCCTGGTTCTCTGCTACCTGGGGCTGGGCTGAAACAGCTGTTAGTGAGTTTGCACAAGCTTCTGGAGGGAGTAATGTCACATAAGGAAGAGCCTGGTTTGTACCAGAGTCTTACTGGACACTGGCAAGTCAACAAAAGGAATAGCTAGCTCTCCCTGGCAACTCTCTGTCTGCCTAAGACTATTTCCAATGCAGTTACTCCTAAATCTTCTCTGAACCCTGCCCCAAGGACACTTACAGTTACCTATTTGGGAAATCCAGCATGGAAAAAAAAAAAAGACTTGATTTTTGGAGGCTTCCAGGGCACAGGGTGTTCAAGTCATAGTTTCTCTGTGTAGCCCTGGCTGTCCTGGAACTCACTCTGTAGACCAGGCTGCCCTTGAACTCAGAAATCCACCTGCCTCTTGTCTCCCAAGTGCTGGGATTAAAGGCGTGCGCCACCACCACCCGGCAAGACTTGATTTTTTTTTGAAGTTATTACTTCTGCATCGGTGGGAGGGTGCTACATGTATGGGTGCCCATGGAGACCAGAAACGGGAATCAGATCCTGGAGCTGGCGTTATAAGCTGTTGTAAAAATGTAGCTATGAATGCTGAGAAGCACACATGTGTGCTGTGGAAGAGTGCAAGCTCTCTTCATCACTGAGCCATCTCTCTAGGCCACACCCCAACCCTACTTATAAGACTGGTCTCATGTACCCCGGGCTAGCTTTGGAACTTACTATGTAGTAGAAGATGACACTGAAGTGATTCTCTGGCCTCCACCTCCCAAATGCTAGGATCAGAGAGACATGCACTGTCGGACCCGGCTCCTGCCTTTTAAAACAGATACTGGCTAGAACTGGACATCCTGTGATGTGTGCTGTTGAATAGACGGGCGGTCACTTAACAGATGTGATTTTCATACAATATAGTTTTTAATATCTCTTAATACGATTGTTGACAACATAGTTAGAATTGGGTCTAGAGTACCTTTCACCATGGTCTCAGCCCTCCTGAGACGTGACGGCAGGACTCTGAGGGTCCCTGGCACAGACGCCTGCCTCAGCATCTGGACCATTCCTTGCTCCGAGAGACTCGGGACACTAAACAACATTGGGGCCATGGTTCATTGGGGGTACCAGCACCTCTAATCTGGTCTTCCCCCTAAGAGAGTCAGAGCCACACAGCCGAGCCCTGTGGTGATCTGGGAAACGTAGTCTGGGTGCCACCAAAATCATATTTTGCTTCCCCTAAGAGCTCACCTGTCATTCCCAGAAGAAACAGCAACTTCCCACACATGCTAGCTCAGAAAGATAGCCTGTCCCCCAGAATCTTCCTTGATACAGAAGGATTCCTATAGTGCTTTGTGGGAGGAAAAACAAGCTCCCAGGGGTCCTTGCCCTCCTCTGGATAGTACAGTCCACAAGGACTGCTGTGACCATCTGAGACTATGACCCCAAGCCCACCAGGAGGTAGGGCCTGGTCCCCAAGTGGCAAACTCTTAATTGACCGTCACTTCTCCCCCACACAAGGACAGCAAACTCACCTGGGCCTTTCAGAGACAAGCCACAGGCAGTGGCTCACCCAGCACTTTGTGACTGGAGGGGTGTGGAGCAAGTGTCTGGGAGTCTGGGCAGGGGGCAGGTGTGGGTCTCTCGCTGGGTTTTAGTAAAGGAAAGTTTTCACTTCCTGTACCATCTGTGAGTTTCTATGTGGAGGTAACCCCCTGGGGGAGTCCATTACTCTTAAAAATATATCATTGCTTCTCCCACATTGTGTAAATTAAGTAAATGGCAACCAGCCTGTTAACCCTATCATTAAGGAAAAGACAACATGGCCCTAGAGTTTTGTTTTTTCACCTTGCTTTTATGTGTCAAGTGATGGTTTGGATGCAGAACTCGGGGTTTAAAAGAGGCAGACGCTACTGAGGAGGGGAGAGGCCCTTGGTGTGGCCAGTCACCTATGGGAGAACTGGACTCACACTTGGGCAGAGCCCTGGACTGGCCAGTCCTGGGAGACTGAGCATCCACGGGGAGCGTTCAGTCACTCGCATTGGAGGCAGCCGGTTCACGAATGTGTGTAGCCCTAAGGGCCCTGAACGTCAAGGCCCGCGTCAAGGAGAGTCAGTAGGTAACGTGACCAGCTTTCTTGGGAAATTTGGACTTTCAGCTGGACAAGGGGGTATCCACATTCCCTGGAGTCCACTAAGTAATGAGGGAGAGAGAGGCCCCAAGCCATCAGCCAGCCTCTGGGGCCTGGCCTGCGTCTGCTCCTTCAGCCTCCACCTGATTGCTCTTGCCCAGCTTTTTAAAGCTCTCCAGAAAGGCCTTCCAGGTCTCCGGCACACTCTTCTCCAGCAGCCATCCCTCGCTCTCACACTCGGGGTCCTCTGGGTTGGACACACTCTCCAGCGCTGTGTGGAGGTAGCGGAGTCCGGCAGTGATGCTCACCTGGTGGGGAGAACAGAGACTTAGAACAGACATGGGGCGCCGGGCGGTGGTGGCGCACACCTTTAATCCCAGCACTTGGGAGGCAGAGGCAGGTGGATTTCTGAGTTTGAGGCCAGCCTGCTCTACAGAGTGAGTTCCAGGACAGCCAGGGCTACACAGAGAAACCCTGTCTCGAAAAAACAAAACAAAAAGAATAGACGTGGGGTATAGCTACGAGGGCTGTTAGGACAACGTGAGTGGTGGCAGCGCACGTCACCCTGGATGTGAGGCTTGAACTGATGGTCACATTGTGACTCATCCCACCCTGGCCTCCCCTCAGCCCCCTGAAGGTGTTTAGAACATTCGATTGTCTCTGCCTGGTCATCATGGCTCCTCGGTTGCCTGTTAATCCAGAGCTGACCCTAAATGACCTATGCTGCACCTATCTCTCCCCTTCTTCCTGCCCTTCCCCCACCAGGCTGAACACACTAGTCCTTCACTCCATGTCCCACCCTGTCACGGTGTGTTTCTTTGTCTATAACAATGCCAGCAGCTTTACTGGATGGGATCACAAGGTTGCTTCCTGGGCTGGCAGGATGGCCTGATGGGTAGAGACTTGTTGCCAAGAATCAACTTTTGATTTCCCCAATGTGGAAGGAGACAACTGATTCTTGCAGGTTGTCCTCTGCCCTCCACAAGTGTGCCATGGCACACATATGCCCAAACATGTATACACACACACACACACACACACACACACACACACACACACACACAAATATAATCTTATTAAAACTTACTCTCGAAAAAGCAAAAAACAAAAAAACTTACTCCCAGGCCAGGTGTGGTGGTGCACGCCCTTAATCCCAGCACTGAGAAGGCAGAGGCAGGTAGATTTCTGTGAGTCTGAGGCCAGCCTGGTCTACATAGAGAGAGCTCGAGGACAGCCAGAACTATGTAGAAAGATCTTGTCTCAAAACAACAAAAGAGTCACTTCTAGGGCTGGAAGATGGCTCAGCAGTCAAGAGCACTCACTCTTGCAGAGGTCACAGGTTCGGGTCACAGTGCCCACAGGGCAGCTCAGAACCATCTGTCACTCAGGTTCCGTGGGATTTGACCCCCTCTTCTGACCTCCACTGGCACCAGGTAGGCATATGACGCACATGCATACAGGCAGGCAAAACACACATAAATCTGAAAAGATGAAAAGTAATTTCCTCTTCTGCATACCCTGGACGTGGGATGATCTCCTATTTGTGTGGTAATGAATGAATGCTGGTCTCCAGCTGTTCACGTTTTTGCACTAGCAGCCATGGTAGGTGCTAGGACTCTGGGTCCTAAAGTATCTGTATTGGTCTGCCAGCCTGCATGTAAGTGGATGTAAGACTGCATCTTCTGGCTTGCAGATTTTCAGAGGAGGTAGCAACTGCCTCCCATGGATGGTGTAGGACCCTGTATGTGCAGAGCACACCTTATGTGCACCTGACAGGCCAGGTAGAGCTATCATCTGATTGGTGATTGGCACGGCGGGTACCATTTTTTCCTTTCATTTTGTATTCCATTCACTCCTTACCTCTATGCAAGCTCAGGTTTCCTGTGCAGCTCCAAGCTGTTTCCTGAGAGTGGGACTATCCCCCTCCCCCCTTACACTGAATGCATCCCACACCCCAGCCCCAGAACACACAGGGTGGCAGCAGTAACTCACCTAACATCTGACAATGGGTGCATGGGGTGGGTACCTAATTGAAAGAGTGTCTAAGCCGGGCGGTGGTGGCGCACGCCTTTAATCCCAGCACTTGGGAGGCAGAGGCAGGCAGATTTCTGAGTTCAAGGCCAGCCTGGTCTACAGAGTGAGTTCCAGGACAGCCAGGGCTACACAGAGAAACCCTGTCTCGAAAAACCAAAAAAAAAAAAGAGAAAGAAAGAAAGAAAGAAAGAAAGAAAGAAAGAAAGAAAGAAAGAAAGAAAGAAAGAAAGAGTGTCTAGTGATAGTGACTGGCTGATTCTAGGTATTATTATTGTCTGTCCAAAGTTTACTAACATGTTTTACAATGGAAAAGCCACCTCCTCCTGAAAGAAACACCTTGCACTGTGGACTCTGAGCTTGGTAGTGGTCTGCCCTTTTGTCCATGTTTGAGCATCTCCCGACTGGATTGCGATGCACAAGAGGTCAAGGCTAAGGTTACAACGCTGCCCCCAGCCCCAGCAGTCTAGTGCCTGAGGCCGCTCTGCTCCCTAGAAGTTGAGGGTGTTCACACTCCCTGTCCCCCATGAACTGGTCCCTGTGAGCTGGGTTCCAGCAATGGTGACCTGGAAGGCGCTCTCTGCAGTCTTCCGGGACAGTCATCTTGTCATGGGTCTTAGGTTGGTGACTGTCGACCTGGCTGTTAGCTCCTCCTCTCATGACACTCATTCCCAAGACTGCCTCAAGGTATCATCAGACCAGTAAATGGCCATGATGTGCCTTCGTCCTGACATCAGAGGCTTTTACAGGTGGTCCGGCCACCCTGTCGTCTCCCATGGTGGCTTAGGGGAGCTGCGTAGCTACACCCTGTCCTCATCTGTGTACTACAAGAGAGATCCAACAAATCTTCTCTAGTAGAAAGAGACCTCCTCAGCTAATATCTCTGTCTTGCTACATTTTGGGTTTGGAGCGTAGGTTTTCTGACGCATGAAGCACAGAGTCACCCCCAACTAGTCTGTGGCCCATTCAGCACCTAGAACAGCTCCCAGCACCTCGGGTGAGCATTTCCTTCCAAGGATTGTTTGGACAAAGAAAGATTATGGCTGCAGGGGAGGGGGTGCTGAGTCTCAAGAAACTACAGAAAAGGGAACTAAGTCATATAGCTGACACGAGGTTAGACTAGCATGTAGACACCAACTAGACTCTTCAAAAGTACAAATCCATACAGACTCTTGCCTGCAGGTCCAGCATACACATCACTAGACACAAAGATTCTGTCCCCATGTAACAGTTAGTGTAACCATCTAAGGCCTCAGAAACAAACAGGCAAAGTGCTGGGAGAACCTCAGAGTCTGGCTAAGTGAAAAGTCAAACGTAAGAGGTTGTGTAGTATAAAAGTCCGTGTACACTAGATGTCCAGAATAGGTACAAGCACCGGCACAGTTACAAACGGGTGGCTGCCGTGGGCTGGTGCTAAGCGTTACTGTTTAGTGGGTGTGAATTTTCTTGGAGAGGCTGTGAATGAAATGATTTAGAACCAGGGTGAGGTGGTGGATACGTGCTACTGTGAACACAATAAATGGCTTAATTTTGTGCACCCCTTTAATCCCAGCACTTAGGAGGTGGGGGCAGGCAGACCTCTGTGAGTTTGAGGCCAACCTGGTCTACATGGAGAGTTCCAGGACAGACAAGTCTATATATAGAAAGACCCTATCTCAAAAATAAAAAAGGAAGGAAAGGAAAGTCAATTTTATGTTGATTTTTGCCTAAATATTTTTTGTAAGTAATGATGCCAGGCATGATAGCACATTTGTGATCCCAGCTTTTTGGGGATACTGAGGCAGAAGATCATGAATTCAAGGGCATTGTGGGTAACATAATGAGAGTATGTCTCAACCACAAAAAGGATGCCAGGCATGGTGGTGGACACCTGTTTCCTGGTTCTTGGAAGGATAAGGAATTCAAGGCTAGCCTTGACTACATATCAAGTTCAAGGCTAACCTAGGTTACATGAGACCCTGTAGGTTTGCTCACCAAGTCTGGCTTCATCATGTTAAAGCCAAGCCTGGCAGTCTCCTTTTCCCTGTCCTCTGTGGGCCTACCTCAAAAAGCCAGACGAGAAGTGTGACAACCCCCATGGAGTTCATGAGGCTGCTGTAGTAATTCAGCAGGGCGGCCCTGCAGCCCCTCAGCCAGAGGTTGAGCTCCTCGGTCTGGTGGTCGTAGCTGTAGTGTGCCGAGTTGTTGGTGAGCTGGTACTGGATACAGGGCCGTGGTGAGCTGGGGTTGCAGCAGCTGAAGGGAACACCGTCCACCAGGTACCGTCCGTCCACATTGCTCTTGATGCGACTGGAAGAGAAACAGCCTGGTTCAGGCTTCAGGGACATCTCCCATGCACTGGGAACCCATGTTCATTCATGCACGGCCCAAGAACACCCCCCACCTGCCAGCTGCTATACTAGGAACTACATATAGAACCATGAACCTATCTTTCCCAGCCTTCCTGGAGTGGATGTTCTAGAAGGTGGAGGCAGGATTTAAACCCTCACCCTTTACCATCTCTCCCCTTCATAGAGCACTCATGACCAGGGTTTGTGTAGAGGCCGGACCTGGAGGCTGGGGACAGACACAGGCCTCACCTCTGTAAACTCCACACTCACAGCAGAATCTGCTTACTCACTATGAAAGACAAAGCCATGCCCTCTGCTCACTAAGCTGCCAGGCGAGGCTCCTGACAATCCCGCATGTCCGTATTAATTCATGTTTCTTTAGTGTCTGCTGTGCCTTCACAGAGTCCACAATCCCAGAGGAACCTTTACAGTGAAAGGTCCCTCCCGTCCCCACAAACTGTACATGCTGCCTGACCAGGGCTTGGCAAAAATCCTCCCAGCGGCTCGTTTGAGATGTGTGTACTTGGCTGGGCATGGTGGAGCACCCAGTAATCCCAGTTCTTGGGAGGTGGAGGCAGGAGGATCAGTTTAAAGTTATCCTCGGCTACACAGTGCATTTAGGTCCAGGTGAGATTACAGAAGGCTGTCTCCAGGGATAACTACATAAATAAAGGCTAGAGAGAAAACCGTCTTGGTAAAGAGCTAGACCATGCAAGAGGAAGGACCTGAATTCAATCTGCTGAATCCAATCTGTGATGGCTTGGGCTTTAGGGACCCAGACAGATGGATTCCTGGAACTCATTGGGTAGCTAGTATAGTCTACTTGGCAAGTTCCAAGCCAGTGAGAGACTCTATCTCCAGAAGAGGAGGAGGCAGGGAGGAGGAAGAGGAGGAGGAGGAGGAGGAGGAGGAAGAGAGGTGGTGGACAGCACCTGAGGTCACCTGAGATTGTCCTCAGCCCTCTACACATACCCTTGCATCCTCATGCATGATCGCCCACACACCCTCGTATACACATACATAAAATAAAGGCTGTCTTCGAGCTCTTGTCTGAACCAGCCCACGTTGGGCTGAGAAGATGGCTCTGTGGGTAAAGGGGCTCGCTGAGCTCTGTGACCTGAGTCTGACCACCAATACCACACGGTAGAAAGAGAAAGCCAGCGGCCACGAGTTGTCTTCAGCCCTTCAGAGGCAAGCCGCAGAGTATGCACACCCGTAGACACACACCGCAGACACGCATACCGACGATGATGATAATAATAATAGCTCATTGTTTTTAAAAACTAAAAAGCCCACGGGGTTGTCTTACATGCTGGCCTTAAACCTTAGAGACTGTCAATGGAGAGTGTTCTCGATTTGTTTTTTCTTTTTTCTTTCAGTGAACCACATCTGTGGCAGGCTGCTGTGGAGGGTGGCCATATGGTCCATAGGTTTGTTCAGGTGGAATATAGAGGGGAAATCTATAGAAGTGCCCTATGTCTGTGCGTGACCCCATCAGAGGCTGTGTCACGTATCCAGCCAGCCATGGGAGATACAACCTGTACCACATCAGTCCAAGCTCTGGTCTCTGTAGACCAAGTAGATGAATAGTACCCGAAGTTTTGGGGTATCATTAGTATTATTATTAAGGGAATTCATCAGTGTCTTACTTGGGAGAGTGAGTTTCTCTTACATTTGTTACTGTGTGCACACGCCTGTATCATGATGCCATGCGGAGGTCAGAAAACAACTTGCAGGAGCTGAGCTCCCCTCCCTCACAACTAAGCCGTCTCACCTGATCTCTTCAACTTATCTGAATTTACACTTCTCTCTTTCCAAGACCATCCTTTCCCTTAGGGTCCACCTTCTTGAGCTGCCCGGTGCTTACCCATCGGGATTAGTTAGGGCTCTAGGTAGGCTGCACATGGTGACATAGGTTATGCGGTATATCCATCTGTCCTTCATTATTCATGGGCTGGGCGCACTACCTAATAAACAGGTGACACTAGGTAGCTTGAAGAGAGCATGGCAGACACCAAATACAAAGGAAGGGTGAGCGCATGCGCAGAGGGTGCCCCGCCCAGCGGTGGTCAAGCAAGAGCCATCCCTAGTACTGGGGAGCCCACATCAGGTTGTGAAAAGAACAGACCAGAGGAGAGACATCACAGGGAACGGTCACTTGTGAGTTAGTAGCTGTTGTTCTTGGCCTTTGAGGGTAGCTGCAGGGAAGGGGTCTCTCCGAGGCAGGAGTGCGCAGGCTCACTGCCCGCGGATGGCGCCATCTCCCAGATGATGCCTTTGTGCTCCCGGATAGCATAAGCCAGATCTTACTCGGCTTCTGCCAAGCTCATGGAGCTTGAGTTCATCGCATGGCCCATACAGTACTAGGCCAGTGCTGGTGACAGTGCCCTAGGTGGGACAGGGCAGCGAGGCAGGGTGGAGGGGTGTTGGCGGGCCCTTCTGATGTCCTTAAGATGAGGTGAAGCCTGTACACCTGCCTCTCACGTCTACCCCAAGGATATCTGAAATGAGGGTCAGACCCGTAGTCATGAGACTGAGGCCTTCAGAGGCTCCCCTCTCTCCATCCATCCCTCCCCTCTTGAAGGCCCACAGCCTTGGGCACACCCAGCAGAATTTAGTCTCTGAGATGTTTCCTCCCTTCAAGCACCCAGGACCCTCAGCTGGCTTTACTCAAAGCTGAGGGCCCTCACAGTCAGGTGCCATTCTTGCTGCTGAGTTACAGGCTGTCCCTGCAACCTGCACATATATCTCCCCGAAGCCATTTCTAGCATCCCCAGGCACAGGTGTGGGTCTGGCAGAGGACAGACTACAGTGCCACTCATACCGTGACGCTGGTATTTTCTGGACATGAGTGAGATGGCTGTGAGCCCATCACCTCACAGGCTCACAGGTAATACAAATAACACATTTGGCCAAGCCAAGAAAATCTTGGCTCCTCTCCACGTGAAGACCTTGGAAAACCACCAGACGCTTCTCTAGAGAAGGCAGCGAGACCCTGAGGGGCAGTCTCATCGAAGTCCACATGGGTGGTTGAAGGCCAGCCCCAGCAGCTGCCCACTGACTTCCTGTTGCCTTGGACTTTACCCTCAGGACGCCAAGGTCTCTCCCCTACACTGGCCTTTAACTCCGTCTGTAACTGATGGCCTTGAACTTCCTATCCTCCTGCCTTCACCCCCCCAAGTCCTAAGATCACCGGCATGTGCCACCACACCCAGTTTACGTGGAGACCCGGATGGATCTCACAGCCACCATCATGCTGGGTACACACTCAACCAACCAAGTTCCACCCAAGCCTCCTCTGGGGCTTCTACCTGGAGATAGGTTTTTTGTTTGTTTTTTTGTTTTGTTTTTTTTTTTTTTTTTTTTTTTTTTTTTTTTGGTTTTTCAAGACAGGGTTTCTCTGTGTAGTCCTGGCTGTCCTGGAACTCACTCTGTACAAGACCAGGCTGGCTTCGAACTCAGAAATCCGCCTGCCTCTGCCTCCCAAGTGCTGGGATTAAAGGCGTGCGCCACCACCGCCTGGCAATGGATATGAGTCACCATGTGGTTGCTGAGAACTGAACTCAGGACCTCTGAAAAAGCAGTCAGTGCCCTTAACCACTGAGCCATCTCTCCAGCCCGGGAGGCAGTTAAGTAAGAAAAAACCACGACCCTCCCTACCCATCCTGTATCTCAGGATCCACTGCCTAGCCCCACCCATGTCCCCACACCCACCCCCACGTACCACGCCCACCCCCACTGCCACGCCCACCCACCTGCCACGCATGCCGCACGTGCCCCCAAGATGAAGTAAAGCCTGCACACCTGCGTCACACTCCCTACAAGTGTGCCTGAAGTCATGCAGCCATCACGGGGCTGAGAGTAGCAGAGACTCCTGAGTGTCCCGGACTCCCACCTCCCCTTCCTAAACTTCAATGAGCAAGGCACCCTGCTGGTCTCCATGGAGCATGACCATGTCTCCCGCAGACTGGGGTTTCCTGAGGACGGACTTATTTCCTTATATAGCTCCTCACCACCTGAAATGGTGTGAAAAAAATAAGCAAATAAGCGCGGGGGGGGGGGGGGGGGGGGCGAGCGGGATGCTAACCCCTTATACACTTCACTCTCTAAACAGCCTCCCCAGTTCCCCAGCTGTCCCTCTGCTCCTCGAGTAGGATTATGTCACTGGATGCCCGAATCCCTGCTCTGCTCTCTTTCCCTACTGATAGATTCCATGTTTCTCCAGAAGAGTCTACAGGCTACCTTGAGAAGGCTAGATTGCCCTGGCAGTGGGGTAACCTAGAAAACAGGCTCAAGATCCAATGACACCACCCCCCCCCCCAGCAGAATACTTTTATAGCCTGGGAACTACTCTGATATAAATAGCCAGCTCACCCCTAAGAAGCTCTGCTCCGACCTAGCTTTGTCTTAGGAGGTGAGTGGGGCCCTAATCTGCCAGAGGAAAGGAGGGCAGGCCCTAAGTAAACAAGCAAGGTGATACAGGAACAGGGGACAGAGCCGTGTGCCCGGAGGGCCCAGAGATGTCCCACCTGGAGCTTGGCCCTTCCTCCCCTGTGCTAAACAGGGGTCCTTCTTCGGGACTCAACACCTCAGTCTGATGATAGAGGTTCTGTCCCACAATGAGATAAAAGAAGCCCTGGCTGGAGACAGACATGCGTTCCTGAGGACTGGGGTCATTCCGGGGCTTAACTCCTCCCCCTGCAGATGTCAGGCAGTGACAACACACTCCATTCTTTTCTTCCAGGCCCATCCGGGACCCTCAGCTGAGGAGGGACGCTAAGGCACAGTGGCAGCCTTCAGACAGCCTGCAGAACCAGGGGTGTAGAAGGAGGTTAGCTCTGGTTTGGGAGGAACCTCTTTTCTATATGGGGTACTGACACAGAAGCACCAAGACTCAAGTTGTCCTCTGACCTCTACAACTGTAACAATACACCCCTCCACACACCCCCATACTAAATACATACATACACACACATACATACACACATACATACATACATACATACATACATACATACATGTTATTTTAAATTTCCTTTTAAAGCTTTTTGTGGCTAGTCAAGTGCCCCCATTTTCTGGCCTCGCCCCTGCCATCGGAATCTTACCCTAAGGCTACTGAGAATCCAGAAAATAAATCAGACCTACTTCTCAGGGCTTGGGGTCTCAAAATACAAATAAACTTTACAAACTTCAGAATTTTCTCTTTCTTTTCTTTTTGTATTTTTACTTTTTTCTATTTTTCCTCTTTTTTATTGTTTTTGTTTGTTTGTTTGTATGTTTCCTCTTGTTTTTGTTTTTTGTTTTTTTTTGGTTTTTGTTTTTGTTTTTGTTTGGTTTTTTCAAGACAGGGTTTCTCTGTATAGTCCTAGGTGTCCTGGAACTCACTCTGTAGACCAGGCTGGCCTTGAACTAAGAAATCCACCTGCCTCTGCCTCCCAAGTGCTGGGATTAAAGGCATGCACCACCACGCCTGGTTTGTTTTTGTTTTTCAAGACAGAATTTCTCTGTGTAGCCCTGGCTGTCCTGGAACTTGCTCCATGGACCCAATTGACCTTGAACTCAGAGACTTGTCTGCTTCTTTTTCTACGTTCACACCTCTTACTTCGGTCAGTCATATTTTCAGTGTGTACAGTAGCGAAATTTTCCTGTGTCCCGGCAAGTTGGTATGGTACGCAGATGTAAATTTGTAAAGGATTTTTTAAAACATACTGTTTATTGTGGCGGGGGCCCAAGCTTGTCATGGCGTTTGTGAGGAGGTCAGGGAGCGCTTGCTAGCGTGAGCTCTCTTAAACCGCGTGACATCAAAGTCACACTCAGCAGCAAGAACTGAGTTACCTTGCCAATCCTACTGAAATAGTTCTGACTGAGTTAAATGTCCACGTGGAAATTTGAGTTCCCTGGTCATTGGGAGCACAGTGACCTGGGTCATTTCTTGACTCTCAAACCAAAAGAAATTTGGAATTAGGGGCTGGTGAGATGGCTCAGCGGTTAAGAGCACTGACTGCTCTTCTAGAGGTCATGAGTTCAAATCCCAGCAACCACATGGTGGCTCACAACCATCTACAATGAGATCTGGTGCCCTCATATGGGTGTCTAAAGACAGCTACAGTGTACTTACATATAATAAATAAATAAATTTTTTTTAAAAAAAAAAAAAGAAATTTGGAATTACAAAGAAACTCTTATATTGTTCTTCAAAGACCGATGCTAAGGGGAAGACAAGACTCTGACAGAGAGGACTGGGGGGAGGGGCAGCTGAAAGGAACAGCTCCTGCCTCCTCCATGAAAGGAAGAAGAGGAGGAGGAAGAGGAAGGGAGAGGGGGAGAGGGCAAGGAGGAAGGAGGGGAGAGAGAAGAGAGAAAGAAGAGGAAAGGAGAGAAAGAGAAGACAGAAGGAGGAGGGAAGAAAGGGACAGGGAGGAGGGAGAGGAGAGATGGAGGGAGGAAGGCAGGCAGGCAGGACGGCAGCTGTTGAGGTGGATCAGTGATAAAGCAGTTATTTAGCACGCCCAAGGCCCTGGGTTATGTAGGTCCCCAGCACTGAGTGGAAGGAAAGGTTCCCTAGGGAAGGACTTACTGCTACCCTGCTAAGCCACAGTGTATGAAACCAACTCCTAACGACTGATTACCACACATACGAGTGCCCTCAACCTCCAGCAGAGAAGCTCGGACAGCAGACGGTGTGCAGCAGAGGCTCACGACTGGCCAAGTGCAGAAAACATAGTCTGCAGAGGTCCAGCCCTGAACGGGACATCTCTGTCACGCCCTGTTCTCAGGGATCATCTCGGGAGAAGGGAACAGACAGCGTGTGAGACCCAGGACGGCTACAGGAAGTCAGTGCTTTCTAGACACAGCAGGGCAATGGCGCCTATGAACTGTTAGTGGCTTTTGACTGCAAGCATAAGACCTGCGCGAAATCAAGCCAGAAAGCGTCCCAGCACGGGTGTGGATGCGGACAGGAACTCCTCTCACTCAGAAGTTATTGCCAACTAACGGCTGCCAGTGGGAAGGTGGGGCACGCAGTTTTCCTCTGGGACATGGGCCCTGAGAGACTATCCATGCTCAGTATATGACTAGACATCCATGCACATACAGGTAGCACTAAGTAGACTCCATTAGACTCCATTTACTTAAGAGAGAGAGAGAGAGAGAGAGAGAGAGAGAGAGAGAGAGAGAGAGAGAGGAAGGGAGGAAGGGAGGAAGGGAGGAAGGGTAGGGTGGGTGTTAGAAAGGCACGGGATGGAGTAATTAAAACACATTAGACACAAGTGAAACTCAGTCAATTTGAAACGAAGAAAAAAGAAAAGGTTTCCATCTGGAGTCCACATTAGAAAAAGAAAAATGGTCCGGGTGGTGGTGGCGCACGCCTTTAATCCCAGCACTTGGGAGGCAGAGGCAGGCGGATTTCTGTGTTCGAGGCCAGCCTGGTCTACAGATTGAGTTCCAGGACAGCCAGGGATACACAGAGAAACCCTGTCTCGAAAAAAGCAACAACAACAACAACAAAAAAAAAAAAAAACAAATGCCAGAGATGAATGAAAGCCTCTTTCCTCTGGTTTTAGCGTCGCCTCTCTCACGCCCAAGAGTTCCACTGTCCCCGCCTTCACCTCCTCCTAGGTGATTTATGCAAATCCTGCCCTCCTGCCCTGTCCCTGCAGACTTGTCATTGGAAGGGCAGAGCTAGTCACAATCCTCTCCTTGCCTGGGGATTTGCGGCTGTAATCTCCTTCCACAGAGAAAATGACATTCAAGCAGTGACCTTCTCAGGGTTTCCCTCCACTGAGGGAGGAGCAGAGCCTTGTCTAAGCTAGATGCCAGCCGCCTGGGACCCCCTGGGCTTCAAGCGCATCCTGCTGGGGTGCCTGCCAGCTCAAGGCCCCATGGGATTTGCCAGTTACTCAAAGGAAGGAAAAAAAAATCCTAACAAACAAAAAACAAAACCTGGATGGACCACTGCCCTAGGATGTCAGCCAGGGTATGTCACACAGCATGCTCCTCCCTAGAGAGCATTCTCCCTGAAACCTCCCCACCACAGAACTCCATTTTCACACAGACCAAGTGCACCCTTGGAAAACTTAGCTGTGCTGTGTCAGCAAACAAAACAGTGTGGATCAAAGGGCTTGCCATCCTGTGCATGCCTGCCTGACAACATGAGAGGAAGTGCCGGGACCACCATGCCAGGCAAGACCAGACTCCCCGCAGCTGTCCCCTGCTCTCTGCACACGCTGTATACACACACAGAGATAACAACACACCGGGCATGGTGGCACATGCCTTTAATCCCAGCAATTGGAAGGCAGAAATAGAAGATCCCTCTGAGTTCAAGACCAGTCTAGCCTACATAAGGAGTTTCAGGCAGCCAAACTATATATGCCCCTGAGTCCAAAAAGAAGGAAGAGGAGGAAGAGGAGGAGGAGGAAGAGGAGGAGGAGGAAGAGGAGGAGGAAGACCAGAACAAGCAGGCACCTGCTATATACCAGGCGTAGTCAGACCAGGAAAAGTACTCCAGGACCACACATTTCAGTATCTTTCCTTGAAAGATGGCTAGAAAGACAGTGGCCAGTCACATGTCAGTTGAAAGCAAAACCAGAAAGAAGCACAGCCCAGAGATGTCTGCCCTCCCCACACCCTGAAAATAACAGGAAGATAGTTCACCATATCCAAGGACAGACTCCTGTAGGCACCTTTGACCACATCAAAAGCTTGGGAAACTGAGGTGCAAACCGGGAAATGCAAGCTCTATGACAGACGCCACCTCGAATGGAACAAGATAAGTATGGAAAAATAGCCTGAGCACTGAAGACCCCATGCTTACTGTAGGAAGGGGCCCTGTGTTCTGGCTCTCCTCCTGGTAACTCCTGTCCACCTTTATTTCTCTCCAGACCTTTCCCCGCCTCAGCCGGTGTGAACCTGAACCAGATGAGGTCGCCATGGTTGACGCCAGACGGACCAGGCTGCTGGCAACGGCACGTGGTCCAGCGTCATGCCCCTCACACATCCGTTCTATACCCAATAGAGGGGAAAGGGACTGGGCAGGCTAGGGAATCAAAGGCTTGTGCCGAAGTGATGGCTACTCACTCTTTGACCTCCTTGGAGGAAAAATCCAGATAGCGGTTGCTGATCCACTGAATCTCGAACCAGTCCCGGAAGCCGTTGTTCCCGCAGCACTTGAACTCGATCTGGAGCATGTCGATGGTCTTTTTCATGAAGCACCGGCCCGGGGTGTCCGTGTCCCGATAGTACTTCATCCCGTTCTTGAGCCCGTAAGCCAGGGTGCTCTCCAGGGAGCCCCGCAGCAGGAAGCAGCACAGAGCCACGAGGAAGAGAACCACGTTAAAGAAGACACAGACAGCCAGGTACGGCTTCAGCCAGGGCTTCCACTTGGCGTACTTGGCAGGGTCCAGGGCGTCGTAGCAGATCTTCCCAGCCAGAGAGTTGAAGACACAGGACAGGACCCCCACCCCTATCAGGGAGTTGGGCACAAAGTGGCTCTCGGAATTATTCATCACGTCGCTCCTCTTGCGGAGTTCAATCTTCAGGAACAGCCCCAGGCTGAAGAGGACGATGCCGGCCAACACGGACAGCCAGTTCATAAGCCAGAGCCCCTGGGCCAACTTGACCCGCTTCTTCTGGTCAAACTTGACTTTGAGCAGCGCCATGCTTACCGAGTGGGTTCAGCAGCCTCCCGCAGTTCAGTTTCCTCTCCTAACCCGAATGAGCTTGGGGGCTGGACCACTCAGGGTCTTGGGAAGAGCACCATGGGCCCAAGCTGCGGGGAGTTGCCCATTTTGGGGCCTCCCTAGCCTGGGATCCCCGTTATCTCAGTAACGGTAGCCGGAGCTAATCTAGGCCGCCGTATCTGCAGAGTCCTTCCCAGCCAAGGAGGGACAGTCCAAACACCGCGGATTAAAAGTGGGATCCACAACACAGTTGCTAATCTCTTTAGCCGGGGTCATCCCATTAGACAAAGCTATGCCAATTCAAAACACGGCCGGGAGGAGCCTCGGTGCGTGTACATGCTGCACCCAGCTCAGCTCAAAGTTCCAGAGCTGGCTAGAAGAGCAGGCTGTGCAGTTCCCCAAAGCCACAGTGAGGTTCTCTTCTGTCTGTGAGTCTGAGACGAGAGAGGTTTAACCTTCGAGGCTGGAGGGATGGCTCCGTGATTAAGAACACTGACTGTTCTTGCGGAGGACTCAGGTTTGCTTCCCAGCACTCACCCAGTGGCGCACACCCATCTGTCATTCGGTTCCAGGGCATCTGACGCCGGCCGGATTCTGGCTTCCATGAGCCCCAGACACATAGTGGTGCACAGACATACATGCAGACAAAACAACCATTCACACGTGTTAAGCACACAAAGGCAGCAGTGGCAATCCCAGCACTGGAAAAGCAGAGGCAGGCAGATCTCTGAGCTCGAGGCCAGCCTGGTCTACAAAGGAGTTCCAGGACAGCCAGGGCTACACAGAGAAACCTTGTCTTGCACTAAAGATCGCAAATAATTCCAGATTCCACCCCTGTCTTGGTGGTTGGGTATTTTGTGATTTTGTTTTTCTTTTAGACAGGGTCTCACTGTGTAGCCCTGGCTGACCTGCAACTTCACTGTGTAGACCAGATTGCCTCAAATGCACAGAGAACCAACTGCCTCTGCCTCTCCTCTTGAGTGCTGGGACTAAAGGAGTACAGTACCACACATGGCTATGTGTAGCAAGGTCAGTGGGAGCTTCTTGGAGGCCTATCTCAAACAAACAAACAAACAAAGCAGCAATTGCATTAAACATCTGTCACCATGGTCAGAAGCAAGGAGGCATGAGAAGTCAAGAGCTAATTTTTGTTGCTGTTTGTGGTTATTTTTTTTCTGTCTTGTGTTTCCAGTGTTAAGACAAGCTCCCTATAGCCTAGCCCAGGCTATACCAGTATATAGCCCAGGCTTGCCTCGAAATTGAAAACTTCCCATCTCAGCACCATCAAGCTAGTTTATCGTTATTTATTTATTTCTCTCTCTCTCTCTCTCTCTCTCTCTCTCTCTCTCTCTCTCTCTCTCTCTTTTGTTATTTGGTTTTGTTTTGGGTTTTTTTTTTTGTTTGTTTCTTTTGTTTTGTTTTGTTTTCAAGACAGGGTTCCTCTGTGTAGCCCTGGCTGTCCTGGAACTCACTCTGTAGACCAAGCTGGCCTCGAACTTAGAAATCCACCTGCCTCTGCCTCCCAAGTGCTGGGATTAAAGGCGTGCGCCACCACTGCCCGGCTGGTCAGGCTTTTTGACAAGGAATCTAGATACACCAGTTAAAGTTAAAAATGTACATACATTTCTGACATTTCTGGGGCTGGGGAGACGGCAGGCTCCCCAGGTTAAGGGGCTTGCTGCTCTTGCAGAGGACCCCAGTTTGGTTCCCAGCACCTACACGGCTCCAGCTCCAGAGGTTCTGATGCCCTCTCTGGCCTGATTTGGCACACACACACACACACACACACACACACAGAGAGAGAGAGAGAGAGAGAGAGAGAGAGAGAGAGAGAGAGAGAGAGATTGATTGATTGTGTGCTTAAACAGGCCAGAGAGGGCATCAGATCCTCCAGAGTAGATGCTGGGAACCAAACTATTTTTTGTTTTAATATCTTTTCCTGTTTTTTTTTGGTTTGGTTTGGTTTTTTGGCTTTTCATTATCTATTTTATGTATGTGAGTACACTGTAGCTATGTTAAGACACACCAGAAGAGGGCATCAGATCCCAACATGGTGTTGTAAGATACCATGTAGTTGCTGGGAATTGAACTCAGGACCTCTGGAAGAACAGTCAGTGCTCTTAACCACTAAGCCATCTCTCTAGCTCCCAGAAATGCATATTTTTTTTTTTTTTTTTTTGGTTTTTCGAGACAGGGTTTCTCTGTGTAGTCCTGGCTGTCCTGGAACTCACTCTGTAGACCAGGCTGGCCTCGAACTCAGAAATTCGCCTGTCTCTGCCTCCCAAGTGCTGGGATTAAAGGCGTGCGCCACCACTGCCCGGCTCAGAAATGCATATTTTAAACCAACAATTTCTCCTCTGATTTCCACTCACATGCTGTGGCAGGAATAGATGGGCACACAGACACAGACAGACAAACAGACAGACAGACACACACACACACACACACACCAAGAAGGTACATTTTTTATTATAATTTCCAGGTACCTCGAGTGTTGTGGTACATGCCCACAGACCCAGTACTATAGAGGGTTGTACTTTCCAAACCACACACAGCAAGACCCTGTGTCCAAAACGTTTGTTTCCAGATCTCTAAGTAAAATCAAACCAAAATGCACAAAGAAGAGGCATGAGAACAAAGCCACGAAACAAGGTTGTTTCTCCTCCAACACAGGCTCCTTGGGAAACAGCACTGATTCCCTTGCTGAAGCAAAGCATGGGAACCACTTTATATCCACAGGCAGATTCGGGACACATAGAAAACTGTTTTTATTACTGTCATACCACAGTTGGTTCAAACAATACCCGGGGTCTCTGATTTGTTTTATTTTATCTACTGTGGGGTGCAAGTGTGTGTGTGTGTGTGTGTGTGTGTGTGTGTGTGTGTTGCGGAGGGGTGGGAGAGAGGTCAAAACAGGGTTTCTCCGTGTACTCCTGGCTGTCTAAGAACTGGCCCTAAAGTCAGGAAATCGGCCTGCCTCTGCCTCCAGACTGCCTAGATTAAAGGTGTGCTGCCAGCCAGGCGGTGGTGGTGCACGCTTTTAATCCCAGCACTTGGGAGGCAGAGGCAGGCAGATTTCTGAGTTCGAGGCCAGCCTGGTCTACAGAGTGAGTTCCAGGACAGCCAGGGCTATACAGAGAAACCCTGTCTCGAAAAACCTTAAAAAAAAA